ACAGTGTCCGTAAACTCGTCCAAGCTGTTAGAAGCAGCCTTATATAGATGGCTGCTACGATCATCCAGGAGGTACTAAATTGCATTCGATTTATGTTAGAGCTTGATATCTTTGCAGAAAACCTGTGATTCATTAGCTGAATGTAATCCCCGGGAAATCCAGTTTGCCTTTTTTAGTCAAGTGTAAAAAATATATTTTTAAAAAGAAATCAATTGTTGTAGAAAATTACACCTTTTGGAAAAAGTACAGTATATATTCTGACTTATCCTTTGTAGAACCTAATAGCACTCAAAGCTGAGTGCCTCAGACATGGCTGTAATTATTTGCTTAAAAGGATAATAATACATTTGTTGAATTTCTTTCAAAAATATGTGAAAGAATCAGATTTTTTAGCAATGCCAGCTGGGTGTTGGTACAGTAGGTGTATGAATCACTACCTAGACCTAGTTGACTTATTCAAGCCTCTTTGTCCACTGACTAATAAATGAAGGACTAACAAGGACCTGGCAGTGGTTAGTGAGTAATGACTGATCTGTACAGGTGTGTAAGGAAACATCAAATCAGGCAGGATATGAGTGATACAGGGAGTGGCGTTTTATACACCAACCTCTTAGACTGTAAACCTCTGGCACTGACCGTCTCTCTCTGCTGTTGGTTAATGCAGCCCCCAGCTGGATGCGGATGATGGCACAGATTAGGCAGTGCGACACCCATTCGACATGTGGTAATGCATTGCCACGAGGGTAGACGACTCATAATTACAATTAAAATGAGAAATTGTGATTTCTCATGGATTAAATGTTTTATTTTGAAAGAATGTCTCGCAGAAAACGAGTGTGAGAAGAGTTGTGTAACATATTTGTTTATAAAATGGATGAAAATCATTTTAAAAGGTGTCAGCACATCTCACTGTGTAATATCTGCCATCACTCTCCACGAGAGGAATGGCCTCTGCTCACAAATAATTTCCCGCTACCGTCACCTCTTCCAAACTTCTAGCCTGGCTCAGGCATAAAAACAAGTCCCAGAGGAAAAGGAGATGCACTAGCGCGATTTTAAAGCTTTCAAAGCAGTTGCTATTGCCACGAGTGTACTGTAGTGTCAGTGTGACTCATAGCCTGAGCCCGGACCCTTGGCATTCCTGCAGTGGAGCTCGGCTCCTCCATCTTGTCTGTCAGTAAATGTCACAGAGCATCTGGCTAAAAGCCTTCTGTCAGCAAGCTGAAGATGGCTCTTTGTCTGTTTACTGAAGGGACGGACATTGTCTGCCTTTCCCAGAAAAAAACCCCAGGGCACAGACTTTGACTTTCTGTCTGTTTTTAGGAAGACAGATGGTGATTTAGAAACAGAATATAATCTTTTCTCTGTCTGTTTATTACTCTCAGATTCTTCCTGTTGTTTGAGAATATTCCTTCCCATGCTGAGCTGAATAATTAGCAGGGATTTATTTATTTTTGTATTTTTACACAGGCTGTGATTTATTCACACTTACACTGCTACTACCATCCGACGCACTTCAGTGTTTAGAGTTTGTACAAGGGCACAAAATTGTCAAGTAAATCTCAGGTTGTTTTAAGTGGATTAGCAGGCTTCCACACTGTTAAACCTTGTTGCAGCAGCACTGTTAGACAGTGTTTGCAAGTCTTTGTGTAGAGAGAGTTTTATAAAATACCAAGCTACCACCTAATGCCTCTGAGTCATCGGACTTGCCTTGTCAGGTTTTTATTGTTTGGTGCTACAGAAGTTTTCTGTCTCTAATAACTGAGGTTTAGTGCCACAGACTATTTACACAAGACCAGTTCATGTTCACGTAACTGTATATCTCTATATATCTCTAAACTAGTTCACATCTTAGGCATGCGTATGAACCTATGCACATGCATGCTCAGCTTTACTTTTGTGTCTAGCCAACAGAGGGAACGCCCTGCCCCTCCTTTACCCCAACGGGGGAGGTTAACTATAACCATATCAGTTATCCAACAAAAGGGAAAGAGAGGTGCTCCGCCTCTTAGTCTTCTGACATGCGGGCAATCGGTGCACCAAAACACTATAGACATGTGCGCCTCTGTGGACCCATATGATCATGATCAGCAGGCTGATGAAGATAGAAAATGATTAGCATCGTGTCTGCACACGAGCAGAGTTCAGCTCTGGCACATGTTGCTTAACTGTGTTGCAGTAATGTTTCTGCTCACATAGAGCCAAGATGATGCAGTCTCCATTATTTCCAAACACAGGTTTTCCACTTTGCCTCAGTCCATTTTAAATGATGGCTTGCTAAGAGAATTGTCTATTTTTAATCCTGTAACACCTGAAGGGGAGCTCAGGTTTGGTTTTTGGTCTTGTGTCAGGAATTTGAATATATACTCTGATAAATGACTTTGGGTCTAACGGGATTTTTTCCCTTATGTTCCCTGATTGAAAGCTGGGTGGGATGTTTTCTTTTGAATTGAATAAAAACATTAAATATAAGAATAAAAGTAATTGGGTTGTGCGTATGTGATGATGGGATTTTGCTCTGCTCTGTAAGCTAAAGTGTGAAACAAGACACAGTAAGCACTTTTTTTGGTCTTTTCATGTCCAGTCAGGTTCTTACTTGTCAGTGTTCTTCATAGAGCTTCAGCAGACACGAGTTCCTCCATCTGCACATACATGCACACTTGCAGCATCTACTCACCGAAGTACTGACAGCTCTAAATGACTGTGTCTGTGTGATTAAGAGTTAGTGACACAGAAGAATGCCTGGCCTGCAGTCAGAGAGAGCAGAGGGAGACAAGTCGAGCAAAACAAAGGAGACGAAAGGAGTCTGCCTTCTCTATACAAGCCCCAACAGCAGCCACTCCCTGCCTGGGACATGCTCTCTTCATACCACACTGCCCTGTAAAACTTACTGGCACACACTTAGGAGTAAGATGAACACAAAGGTGCTCAGGAATTCTCCAGTAATACTTTGACGCACATTAATCGAGTTTCTTCTCCAATTCATGTCCGTATTCCACCACCTTCTCTCCAATTTCTCATTTGGTGGATGTACTTCTACATTTTAGCCGTCTAACGTAGCTAATCCTGCATGTAAAGACACGCAGGGAAAAGCCACAGAGGTGAAAGCACATTAGGCTTATGTTTATTTTTCTTTCCTTCCAGCTCTGTTTTCAGAAAAGGTGAGAAACATGTCACCTGACGAGATCAAGATCCCCCCCGAACCCCCCGGACGCTGCTCCAGCCATCTACAGGTACCCAACACCACTGTTAAACGTTCTCTTAACCACATACATTTCACTTGCAGCACACGCTTTAATGCTGTTGTATCATGCAAGCAGCTTGAGTAACACCACTTAGGCCACAGTTATGCCTGCTAATCAGATTTGGGGGGGGAGGGTGTGTGGTTAAAGCTGGGGTTTGGGGTTTTATAAGGGCTTGATTGAATAATCTGGGGTTTTGTAGACTTGTTTATGTGCTGGATAACTACTTTCCAGGTAGTAAATTCATCCTCCTAAAAGAACTTGTCATTAGCTTAAAAAAGAAGAAATTGGTTCCATGGGGAGAGAAAACAGTCTGCGCTCACAGCCTTGGCATAAGATCAGATTTAAAAACCAAGACTTGAAACGCTAAAGGTTCGAAGCTGCCTCATCCACACACGAAACATATGGGATATTTATGCACTGAAAATAACCTCCTGTTGACGCCAAGCGACTCATTTAGCTTTCACTTGTTCCCTCTCGGGTTAGAAATACATTCTGGTGGCGACATAAATCCTGAGGCGCACCCCTGTAATTAAACCGGCACACAGTGTCATCCTCAGTCTGCTCAGCATCACCGCTGCTGATTTCTTTTCACTGCTTTGCATTTTCGGCGCTTCCAGCTTCAGTCAGTTAGGTTTGTCTTCTGAGGAGCAAAGGCAGGTCAGGACATACAGCTGACTTAGTAAGTGAACAGCTCAGCAGTATCCCCTCTGGGCTGACACTCCCCCACCTATCAGACGAACAACTAATGATTCACCTTCACCATAACAGCCTGGATATCCCTGCCCTCTGGGCTCAGAGGAGCTGCAGCACATGTACTCTCACAGTATGGCTTAATTGGATTTCGCAAATATTCTGTTTTTCCTGTCAATTCACCAGCGCTGGAATGTAGCCACTTTGTGAACTGTTTCCAAATGCCTTTTGCAATCATACCGCGACCTTGAGATTAGAGCAGATTAGAGCGATCCACTGGCTGCCAACTCACTGAGCTCAGTCTGAAACTCGGATATCTCTGGAGAAGATTTGTGTTTTAGGAAAAGCTGACCACAATATCTGTTTTTATTTTTTATAAGTCTGCATTTGACAAAATTTTGCTGCTGGAAATTCAAGTGAAACCTTCTGAGGGAGAGGCAGGAAGTGTCCAGACTGGTCCAAATCAGAGCACCAGAATCACTATCATGTGTTAGCCTAATAAAAAAACAACAACAAAAAAAACCCACTTGCAACAGCTCCAATAGTTTTATCAGTCACCAGTAGGTTTGTTGGGGCTTTACATCAGTGTAAAGTAGATATTTGACTATTGTACCTGTTATATAGAGAGAGTGTCAAATTGGAAGACTTGTAAAGATGTTTTCTTTTGTAGTTTAAAAGTTAAAATGTGACAACATGGTGTAGACAGTCTGCAGCAAGTGTCACTCACAGTTTCCTCTTGTGCATTTTTGGCTACTTCTTTAATAAAAAGAGAAATAACATCACTGCCAGTGAGTGCTTAAATGCTGACAGTCGTCAGCTATACTTGTATAGGTTATCTCATAAGATCTACATGCATCAGTGCAGAAGTATAAATGAAGCTTCTAATGTCATTTGTCCAAAGTGGTACAACACCGAAGTGTTGCTCTCTAACAAATGCATAACTTGTAATTACAATTTAAGTGGGGCATACAGTTACTTTAAGGGTGCAGAGTGTCCATAGTGACAATGCTGTGAGCATGTTTGTTTTTGCATTTTCTGTGGGAGTCTATAGGGATGGACTCATCTTGGAACAAACTGCATATTTTGATGCTGATCTATTCGCGACATGCTCGCTGCTTACCTTCAGCCATTGCCTTGTTTATTTCACTGTTTATTGACATCCTATTTGTGGTTTTACATGTGGCAGAGGGATGCTTATTGAACCTTGAAAGTAAATAGAATTCATTATAGTCCAGATATGTTTAATATTAGTGTGCTTGTTAATCTCAAGAATCCACACAAGATATTTTAATTAAGTCGGGGATTTATTGTGCACATTTAAAGAGTTTACTTGAGGAAGGTCAGAAAGTGCGTCTTCAAAAGTAATTTTTTGTAGTTGTTTACATCAAATTATCCAGCCAATAGGGATGGCTTTTTAGAAAACACTAATATTAGAAGCACAGGAATTAGTTTTGTTGCTGTTAACACAGTAACAGTGGACCTAGACATGTAGTGATGATAAAGATACCTGTATGGATGAACAAGAGCACTATCCTCTTATTTCTTCTCTTTCTATATTAAGACCTCATGCATCACTGTGGATCTGGGTACATGTGCCAGCTCTATGTGGTTTAGTTGAACGTGGATGTGAAATATTTCTCCGCAAATTCAGGAAACTCATCTACAGTAACTCCATTCCTGGTATAAACATGTTGTTTATTTCCTAAGTGACACTGCATTGTGACACAAGTGAAGTGAATTGTAACAGCGGTGTGTGTGTGCGTGTGTGTGTGTGTGTGTGTGTGCGTGTGTTCTCTTCCTTCACCAGTTTGTTTGTTTTGTAACAGGAGAAGATTCATAAGCTGTATGAGAGGAAGCTCCATGGAGATTTTGACACAAACGCCCATATCCAGCAAAAGAAGGAATTTAGAAACCCAAGGTATGCAGCTCAGCTGGAGAATGCACCCACACCGTCAAACGCACACATGGGCTGTCAGCTACACGTGACAGCAGATGTACTGTTTGACTCTTATGAAGCTCCTCTTTGTTTTCAGTATTTACGAGAAGCTCATTCAGTTCTGCGCCATAGATGAACTGGGAACCAACTACCCAAAAGATATGTTCGATCCTCATGCCTGGTCGGAAGACTCTTACTATGAAGCTCTCGGTAAGTCTTTTTATTTTCGCTTACTTGTTCTTTGTGATTTCATATCAGCGCTCATAATTGCTTTTAATCCTCCAGCCAAAGCTCAGAAGGTGGAGATGGACAAACTGGAGAAAGCCAAGAAGGAACGGACCAAGGTGAGCCTAACGACAAAGAAGAGTGGATTACTCTGTCAGTCTGCATCAGGGGCAAGTCTCCACCAGCTGTACTTCATTTCTACTTTACCTCCATCTGACACACAGAAATCAATGTTGCCAAGTTGAGCTCTCGTAACAGCAGCTCGGGCCCAGCCCAGGGCAGATGTACTTGTCGGCTTCACCCATTCTGGGTTGCTACATAAAACCAACTGCTCCCCCCACCCCCCCCAGTATGTCTTTCTATGGATTCTTTTGACTTTATGCTGGGCATCATTTCAGACAGCTAAATGCTGAGGGTGATGGGAGTTTCCAAGGACAATGTTGTTTAAAAACATAGTGATACCTGCTGCCATCAGCAGCATCATTCCTGCTGTTGCACTGAGCTGGACTTGAATGAACATGTAGAGCACAGCAGCTATTCTGCCTGATGTGAAATGAACCCACTGTTATGTAGCTACAGTATTCAAGCTAAGAGACATCAGAGCTGTTCACAGTATTTGTAGTTGTGCAAAATGCTTCGCTTACATATTATTGTAACCTCTGCTGTAGATTCTTAAGTTGAGCTTTTCAGTGACTGCGGTCAAGTTGTTTTTTTAAACAATAATAAATCAAACAATTTAAACCAGTGTTTTAATATATGTGTGTGTTGTTGTTGTTTTTTCCCAGATTGAGTTTGTCACGGGGACTAAGAAGGGCACCAACCCCTCCAGCACAGCAGCCTCCACCACCAGCAACACCACAACTACATCCACAGGTAAAGCACTGCAACATCTGCTAGCTTCAGCTGCTCCAGTAGTAGTGTGATCAGATTGGACCTCAGGTGTGCACGAACAAATGAGGCTATTGGGTTAGTGAGGTACAGTCCAAAAATCTTAAGCCACTTCTTATTTGTTTCCATTTTGCTTCCAAGAAGCCGGCTCTTCTTTTTCTTTGTGCTTTTTCAGGCTTTTTTTGTTTGGTAAGCCATTGTTACAGATAACAGACACAGTAGCAAATAAACAATTTTAAAATTAATATAATTTTTAAACGCTTTGTTGCTAGCAGGCGGTCACAAAAATGAGATGAACGATGCATCCTGCCAATCAGTTAATCCAGAAAACACAGACCTGCTCTTACTGACTCCTCCCCTGTGTTTACTATGTCACAGATGCCCAGAAGAGGAAAAGTAAGTGGGACTCTGCACTCCCTGTGACCCTGGCCCAGCCCACCCTCATCACAACCACAGCCACGCTGCCCGCCGTCGTCTCTGTGACAACAACAGCAAGCGGTACCAAGACCACCGTCATCTCCGCAGTGGGTACCATCTTAAAGAAAGCAAAGCAGTGAGGATGATGAACGGGCTGCAGCGTGACCGACGGCCTGTATTGTGCTGCAGCCGTTATATGTGTGAAAAGTGATGGACACGTTTTCAGAACCAGCCCACAAATTCTTTCTGCTCCTCGTGGACTCACAAAGACTAAAAACTGCCTTCTATCTCTGGGATTGTATCTGCAATTATGGCATCACAAAGCCAAACTGAGCGCGGGGACAATACTCCTCTGTAAATCTGATGCATGCAGATCTTTCTAAACAAGCGACTATGTCATTGTGCTTTTTTCTTTTTCTTTATTTGATGGCAACATTTGTTTATTTAAGACAGGAAATTGTTGAAACTGTAAAAGGGTCCCTCACAGAACAGATGTAGTTAAAATGTCTGAAGTTTATTTTTCTATACATAGTTGTGGTACAGTATTTTCATGCCTGCTGTAGCACTCGATTGTAATCGTTCTTCTGTAGCACAGTGAATGACTCTGAGCTGAGATGTTTGTTTTTGGGTTTTTTTTACTCTTGTACGTATGTATTGATAAGAAGGTGAATAAATGGATGAGATGTTGCCTTTTCACTTGGTTTCTCGTCATTTGCGCAAACTGTGATCACTCAGTCCTCTCTCATTTCACATATGGCTGCTTCTAGGAGAGCGTTACGTCTTTGTGCTTTGAAAGGACGCTCCGTGGTTATCCAGGAACAAGCTCTTATTGACTGCACACATTGGCCTGAATCTGGACTGAAGACTCTCTCTGGCTTTCGTGCAGATGCCGCCAACACATTCAAACAGTTTCTATCTTTTCTTTCAGGGCGAAGCATCTGCGTTCCAGGTGAGGTTATGCTCACTCTAACCTCACACTCCTCATCTGACTTCTCTGGAAAGGGGAGTGTCAAGACATTTATGTGATTATGAGGTACTGTAGTGGGTTAAAGCTGGCAAGAATCAGCAGGCTCTGAGCTGCCTTGAATTTTAAAGCAGCAGCACGTCCCATTAAGTTATTTTTAAAAGCTGCACATAGTTTTTCATAACCTTTCATACTTGGAAGGTGGGTGCAGTCCTTTAACTTGCCTAACTAAATATCTGAAATATGCAAAAGTAAATGTCTTCCTTGTTTTCCAGTTGTTTATCAGAACCTCACCCTGCGATCCCAGTCATGATGTTGTCGTATAATCATCCACGATGGCCTGCAATTACACTGATGTAAATATACCGTGCACAGCTTTGCGATTAACTTTATACTTTGTCCTCAATCACAAGCTGACTTCCTAAATTGGCTCTCACTCATTAAACCTTTGGTATTAGAGGCTGGAGAAGACTCTGCGTTCTGAATCTGAGCTGTCGGTGCGACTCCTGAGGGAGGTTTAAAGTGCAGATTATGGTTTAGCACTGACTCATTTATGACATTCAGTTGAATCATACCCACATTTGGCCACAAGCCTCTATAGAAGTCATGCATTTGGTAGAGTTGCATGTTCGTGTTCTTATTGCATCTCAACATGTTTTTGCAGAGCCTGGAATGCAAATGAATGGCTGAAGACTGCTGGTGGCACAACTGTGATTTCTCCAAGCTTCAGTGATTGAGGATAGAGGAAATACAATTAGAGCCAGACTGGAGCTGATTGGATAGTTGTTTTATCACGTTTGGCTGATGTTATCTGACTTCAAAGCTTACAACTTGAGGCCTGTGCTTTGGCAGGGCCTGCCCTGTAGTGCTCTGTTTGTCCCATAGTCATGCCTTTCAGGTTCCTGGGAGCACCTGGCAAGTCCTCCCTGAGCATTTAATAGCTGGAAGTTGCAGTCTTAGATCTCTCCATTGACTCAGCGTTATGCTATTTGCTTCATGGGCTTTACTTCAGCTTTTACAGTTTACACCACCAGACTCTTGATACATTTAATATTCAAACAGTCATCCAACTGCTAAAACCCTGATAACACTGGTAGAATTTGGACAGTGAAAAGTTAA